CTGATTAATCCACAGTCCAAATGGAGTTAAAGGGCTTCTTTCAAGTTTTCCTGGAGGTTTCAGGAAGACCACAGGCTCAGGTGATATCCTTCCACCCCATGTCGGGCTCCCTGGGCTATGTTACAGCGGAGATGAGGGGAAGATGCTCCTAGGAATAAGGCAGCGTGGGAGGCGGGCCACTGCAGGGTGCTGAGCAGCATCTCGTCACACTTGTACATGGCACCTCGTACATGCCAAAGCTGTTCTGCAACACACCAGGGCCCGTTGGGGGTTCAAGGTCTGAATGTGATGGAGAAAACATGACTTTGACCGCTCCATCACCTGAATGAGGTGGATGGGAAGCGTCTTATCCCCATGACAGGAAGAAAGCTGAGGCTCAGAGAAACGCAGGGACTTGCCCAAAGCTCGTGAAGTGGCGGGAAAAGCTAACACTGGGTCTTCTGGCCCCTCGCCTGGCACGAAAACACAGCTTCTGATTCCTCCACTGCCGGCGACGTGAGCTTTGAACCCCTGCCTAAATATCTCCCGTCCGGAGCGAACTTGTCAATGGAAACATGCAAACTGGGGCCAGCAACCGTTCGGCTCTATCCGCGGCCCCGAAAACCGGGCTGAACAGGTAGTATAAGTGGCCAAGTCTGTCTCTAAGAGCTCCGTCCGGGATGGGGGGCGAGACCTCCGCCTCGGAGACCCTACGCGAACAGGGAGGGCGGCACCGGGCGGTCAAGCTCAGGGGCCTCGGCGGGCCAGGCTGTGCGGGACGGGACGCCGCAGCGCCTCCAGCCTCTGCCTCGTCCGCACCTCGGGCGCTCACCGGCGCCGATGGCTGGGTGCACCCGCCGGGGAGGTGAGCCCTGCGAGCGGGACACACCCATCCGCAGCGGCTTCCCGACCCCGCGGAGGGACAGCTCACTTCGGCGCCGCGGCTCCAGGCGGCGAGTGCTTTCTGCGCCGGCGCGCGGGGCCTGCGCAGTGGGCGGGAGGCGGGTGGGGGCGGGGCCGGGGGCGGGGCGAGTGGTCCCCGCCCCGCTGGGTCCGAAAGCCCGCCTCCCAGGGCGATGCTGCCGGACACCCGGCCTCACTCAGGGCCTCTGCCAACCCTGCGGGTCTGCGGAGCCTCTGGATGGGGAGAGGACGGAATCTGGGCGCCTCTCCGGGCAGGATTCTCGGGGGGAGGGGCCGGGAAATGTGGAAGCCTTGGTGTCACCTCTCCAGGTGGGGCCCTTCTGTGACGTCATGGAATACATCGCGAATCTCTGACTCTGGCTGGAGGCTTGTGCAACGTCACTGTGTCCGCGGGAGGATGCCGTGACGTCACAGCACCATAGAACTCTGGGATGTGGGATGGGACGCCTCTGAGCTGACTAGAGACACCAGGATTCCGCTGGGCGGAAAGAGGGGTGATGCTCTCTCAGGTTCCACGTTCTGGGAACTGAAGGCGCCCTAAGCACCCCACGCGTTTCTCCCTCCTCTTCCCCAGGCCCTATTGGAGCCCGGAGTCCCCTGCAAGGAGGTCTGCAGGAAAACGTCCCTTGGTCCCCCCCCTCCTCCCGCCCCCCTCCTACATTCCAGAAGGAGGAGGTGGAATCTGAACTTCTTCCAACTAGGGCGAAGCCCCTGCGGGCTGTTCTCCCCGGGTCGCTCCCTATCTTGCTCCAGGAAGCCCCAGGCTGCACCGATGGTCTCTCGCCTTCTACCCGGCGGCAGAGGAGTCCAGCCAGTAGCTCCCCCAACCCCAACCCCACCCCACGCAGGAACCGCAGGCCTAGCATTTGGGCAAGGACCCCAGCTGGACTCCAGCGGTCCAGAGCCAGTGACCTCCTTCCATCCTGGAAACCCGCGCAGAGACTGTGGAGGCAGGGGCGGGAGGCGGTGGAATGGGACTTGTGGGGGGAGGAGTTAGCTCCTACAGAGTGGACAGGCAAGAAAGCCCACCCAACAGTTTTGATCCCCTCATTGCTTTTTTCGTGCGACCCACAACGAGGACAAGCGGCAAAATGCCCCATCCAGGTCACCGGGAATCGCAGCCTGTGTGGGGTCTGGTGACCCACGGCCTCGCCTGCCCCTTCCACTTGCAGATGCCATTTCTGCACAATCTATGTAATCGCTGTCAGGAGTATAGATGGCGGAGAACTAGGCTGGGAAGTGGCTTCCGAGGCCACCAGCAGGATAGCAATCATGGGGGGAGCGAGCCCAGGCAGAGGTGCTGGGAGTGGCTGGAGATCTCTGAGCAGCACCCTGCCCCGCCCCCCACCGCCCCCTGAACACTCGGCGCTGGGAACCCCTCCTTCCAACAATGCACACTGGCAGGGCCTGGGGTTGGAAGGGTGGGGGTTCCTGGTGCCTCCCCAATTCACAGCCTTTAGGAAGTCCTTGAGACCGGACTAACCGCAGAGGCACTGTCCCCCAGGGATGGGAGGTGGAGGAGTGTGGGGGAGGAGTGGGCAGCAGCGGTGGTCAATCCCTGGGAAAGATGGAAACTCCAGAAAGAGCCAAGGGGTGGGTGGGGCTCTCTCTCAGATCCTCAGAAGTTCCCAAAGCTCTGCATCCATCGCAGGTGTGTGTGTGTGTGTGTGTGTGTGTGTGTATGTGTGTGTGCGCACGCGCGCGCCCTCCCACTCTTGATGTCTTGGAACAATCATGTCCCTCCCCCAACCTCACAGGATTAGTTAAGGAACTGAGGTGGCTCCTGCCATCAGCTTTATCACAAGCGTGGCCAAGGGCAGACCACCCACTGCCTGCGCTGGCTGGGCCCAAGCGTCGAAACCCAAACCCACTGACTAAACCCCTCCATGCACCCAGAGGTCACAGTTCTCTGGGACCTGGTTTCCCTTCTCGCCTGGGACGCGTCCTTAAGGACCGAGTGGAAGAGGGATTGGGATCCTGTCCGACTAGCCAAGCTCCTACAGGCTGGTCCAGACCCCGAAGCGCCCTGTCCCTCCTTCACAGGGGGCCCTGGGGCCAGTCAAGAAGGTTTTGACCTGCAGGAGTGGCCATAAGGAGCTTCGGGCGGCGAGTCACCCTGGGTTGTGGGCGGGACACAATGAGGTGCCCGGAGTCCGGGCCGCCCCGCCAGGCTTGTCCAGCAGGGGGCAGTGCGGCTCCAAACGCGGAGGGCAGGGCTCCTCTGAGCTGGCGGGGCTGAGGCCACAGGGACAAGCCAGGTTCCGGAACCGCGGAGTTCACTCCAACGCTGGGTCCAGAGGCAATCCCGGGGTGGGGGTGGGGGGCAAGGGCGGGGGCGCCGTGAAAGGCTCGAGCGTTTTAACTCCGACAGCCCCGGCCCGTTTCCTTAGGCCGCCGGGCCCTGCCCAAGGCTGGGATTTGTGGTTCTTATTATTGGGAAGCTCGCTCTTGGCCCTGAGCGCGGATCACAGTAGCCCGGGAGGCTGCGCTCCGCCTGGGAAAGCCGCGGGCGCCCCCCGCCTGCGCCGCCCGCGGTCAGGGCGCAGGAGCTGGGGGAGCCCCGCCTCGCCCCAGCAGGGGAGCCCCCGGCGGCCTGGACTCTAATTGTGGGAAAACTGGATGCCCCGGGGAAGGTTCCACTTGTGGAGCGAGGACTCAGATTTCTCCTACACTTCCCGGGCCTCCCAGGGCGCCCGCCCCCGCCATTCCCGACGAGGCTGGAAAACTGCAGGGAATCTTCGCGGCATTCTGTCTGGGGAACCCTAAGCGGGCAGGGAGTAGGTTTGGGTCTTTGGGGAAGCAACCGTGATTATGAATTTGCAGCTGGGTTTGGGGGAGAGGAAGCTGTCTCTATGGACGCGTCCTTCCCACCGCAAAGCCGGAGCCACGGACTAGGGGGCGGGGCGCTTTGCTTGGGGAGGGGGTGACCTGCTGTTGTTCCCTTAGTGAACCTTAAGCGACCGGGCGCCCGAGCTGTTGGGGCTTCTCCAGGCCAGTAGATTGGCTGCCGCCTTGGCTGCTTGGTAAACTCAAAGTCCTTTGGAGACAGGGAGTGGGGAGACCGAGACGCTAAAACCGAGGTGGAGCCCTAACCAGTTTGGCTTAGTGGATAGAGCATCGGCCTGCGGACTTAAGGGTCCCGGTTCGATTCTGGTCAAGGGCATGTACCTTAGTTGCGGGCACATCCCCAGTGGGGAGTGTGCAGGAGGCAGCTGATTGGTGTTTCTCTCTCATCTATGTTTCTGACTCTCTATCCCTCTCCCTTCCTCTCTGTAAAAAATCAATAAAATATATTTTTTTAAAAAAATAAAATAAAACCGAGGTGGAGGGAAGAGGAAGGAAGTAAATATGGGCAGGGGTTCCAGGTAGACAGACGCGGGGCAGAGGGGATTTCCCCACCCAGCCCCTCCCTGTCACCCCGATAACGCCGAGGTCAGGGCCCTGGGACAGGCTCCTCTCAAAGCCAGGCGCCGCCCAGTTCCCTGCGTTTGGAGGGAAAGGATCCATCCGGCACTGCCTGTAAAATAACCGTTTATTTCATATTTTTAAAAACTCCAGTGATAAATGTCCGTTACCGATGGTCAGCATAAAGTGCCAATCGCAATACAACGCCCTAACCCTAGCCGGCGGCTCGCTCCCGGTGGC